CTGAGGACTGGCGACCCATCGCACTGCGGACTGGCGTCTGCAGAAGCTCACCCGTCACCCTGAGCAGCAACGTCCGAGCGGAGCCCTCTCTTCAGCTGAGGACTGGCGACCCATCGCACTGCGGACTGGCGTCTGCAGAGGCTCACCCGTCACCCTGAGCAGTAACATCCGAGCGGAGCCCTCTCTTCAGCTGAGGACTGGCGACCCATCGCACTGCGGACTGGCGTCTGCAGAAGCTCACCCGTCACCCTGAGCAGTAACGTCCGAGCGGAGCCCTCTCTTCAGCTGAGGACTGGCGACCCATCGCGCTGCGGCAGCTGAGGACTGGCGACCCATCGCACTGCGGACCGGCGTCTGCAGAAGCTCACCCGTCACCCTGAGCAGTAGCATCCGAGCGGAGCCCTCTCTTCAGCTGAGGACTGGCGACCCATCGCACTGCGGCAGCTGAGGACTGGCGACCCATCGCACTGCGGACCGGCGTCTGCAGAAGCTCACCCGTCACCCTGAGCAGTAACATCCGAGCGGAGCCCTCTCTTCAGCTGAGGACTGGTGACCCATCGCACTGCGGCAGCTGGTGACTGGCGACCCATCGCACTGCGGACTGGCGTCTGCAGAAGCTCACCCGTCACCCTGAGCAGTAACGTCTGAGCGGGGTATCTCTGCTCTCTTCAGTGGGAAGCTGTCGTCTGGGAGGAGTATTTCAGTTTTCGCAGGAGAGCTAACGTCTGGGAGGTGTATCTCTTGTCAGTTTTTCAAAGGGGAGCTGACGTCGGGGAAATCAACTCGCGTCGGTCAGAGAAGCAACATTTCGGGAACGCACATTTCGCCAGTAAAGGCATCGACATCCGAGGGAAGGCCCCGCTCTTCATTCGGGGAACCGACATCTAAGAAAACCGGCTCGCGTCTGTCGAGTTTGAGGTCAGGCCTTTTCCTCACTCGTCTGAGGAAGACATTTCGCCGATCGGTGAGATGACATCAGAGAAGAACACCTCTTGCCAGTCAGGGACCCGGTATCTCAAAGAAGCGCCTCTCGCCAGCTACAAGACCCATGTTTGAGTGGAGCGTTTGCGCCCATTTAGAGAACCGATATCCGAAAGAACCACCCGTCTCCGCTCCAGAAACCGACATCTGGGAACCACATCGTTCGCCAGTCGGGCGACCAACGTTCGAGAAAAGCACCTCTCGCCAGCGAGTTAGCCGACGTGTGCGGGCGGCGTCCCTCACCAGCCAGGGCTGCCGGCAGCAGCTGCAGAGGGCTGGATCTGAACGTGATTGATCGTGTCGATATGATGGGCGAGTGTGTGCCTGTGGCGGCAGCCGGCGGCCGCCAGCGCTCTCCCAGCGATGAGTCAGCACAGACCGAGCTCGCGCCTCCCCGAAGCCTCAGCGTTTTGTCCCGGCTCTGAGGACGCCGCGGGCTGCTTGAGACGCGCGTAGTCAGCGGAGTGGCGTGGTATATTGTAAGAAGTGGGCGAGGGTTTTCCGCACAGTAAGTTTGGCTTGTAAGTTTTCAAGTGCATTTGCTGGGAATATTATTCACATAAAGTAGTAATAGCCTTATTCCTCGGAGAAAAACCAGGAGAATGGAAATGTAGCTGCGTTAATATTTCGGCCACATACATTTCTTGAATCCAATAGCAGAAGGCTCTTGAATTTTAAAAAATAGCAAAAGTGAACTTATTTTCGCTATTTGTTTCGATAAAGGCATGCTGCCGAAATATCAACGCATCTATATCTCCGTGTTCCTGTTTTTTTTTTCTCCGAGGAAGAAGACTGCTTCTTCTACTGTCTTATCTAAGTTTAGTTTGTCTTGGCATGTACTCAGCCACAGAGTACTCAGCCCTGCGATTGTGTCAGCACCGGACAGGGATGATCCCGAGTCAGCACACGTGCTCCGTGGCGCTCGCTTCTTGTCGTTTTCATCTAACGGAAGAAAGAGCGCAAGCAAGTAGTTCGCACCACATGGTTTATAATGACGTTCTGGTCTCCTAGCCCCCACATGTGACAGTACTGACGCGCTGCCCAGCGTCACGAGGCGATGTGTGCCGCGAGTCGCCAGGTCACAGTGTCAGTCGTCTGCAATCGGCTGGAAGGGTAGTCAGTCGCCTATCGAAAAACGGATGCTTCCTCGTTATCTACGTGGTCTTGGTGCCGCTTTGCTCAGCCGAGCAACTTCCATTATGGCATTGGTGCGGTTGCAACGACCCCGGTTGCCAGTTTCGTCCAGCCACTGGCAGTTTTCTCTTCGTTCTCTCAGCAAACCTCATACACTTTCCTCTCTCTTCGTTCTCTTTCCATCCCACCTTGCCCGCCCTTCAGTCTTGGCTGACGTCTGTCTGCAGCGTTATGCGGACCATCTCCTCCCGGAGCGTCCCCCCCCCCCCTCCCCGAGGCCCGGGCTACCCTGGGGCGCCGTACATTGGTCTGCGATAACGACCGGGGCGGGACGCGGGGGAGGGCAGACCGTTTCCGTGGACAGCCGGGGCCGGAGACTCGGTCTTAAGGCCGCTCAGCTCCGTCTGCTGACCTTAATGCCTCATCTCTTGGGGGGAGGGGCGAAACCACTCGGTCAAGGTCACTGGGGTCCAAAACCGACCTGCCTGAGTCCGCTTCGCTGTGATGGACAAGATATGGAATAATTATGCAGACGGCCCAATTCGCCGGGGAGCGTCTCGGATCCCGACCTCAGCGACCTCAGTGGTGCCCTTCCCCACGCAGCCCGCTGGCGGTGGACGGATAACCGGACGGTCGGTTCCAAACCCAGACGGACACCACTCGCGTGTCAGCGATGCGGCAGACCCGCTGAGCCGAAGTCACAATCCGCGATCTGGTTCGGCTCGCGCTTGACCCGCGGCAACAGTCGTCTCGCAGGTCCGCACCGTCCTTCTAAGAAGCGGACACACCCGCAGTCGCCGGCCGCTCGTCGTCCGTTCGTCATGCTCCTCCGTCCTGTTCGCGTCGCGTCTCTTATTGACGGCGCGTCGCCAGCATCAGCGCCGCCGTCGCGCCCGTGGCAGTGGGCTCAAAGGGCGCACGTGGCGCGACCAGGCCTCATCAGCCGATAGCGGCGCCGGCGGTCGGGCGGGCGGCGTGGCCGGGAGGCCGGCGGCAGCGCCGGGCGGGGTTCAGGTCCCGCGGGGCGCCGCCACTGTCGCTCGCCTTGTTGTGGTCATCGGGGCGGCGCGGCGACGCAGAAAAACAAGATACAAGGGGAAGAGATGTCGCAAGAGACGGCGCCACCGCAAGGTCGTCGCGGGTGACGCGCAGAAGCAGGCGTCTGAGTGAGCGGGATCGGTGTGACACTCAACTTGGGGTGCAGTTTCGTAAGGGTTTCCTTTGCTCTAAACTGATCTGTCCAGCTGCCGTCCATAAGCCCAACGCTGTGGCCATCCCCTTCCTTTTAAAACGAAGCAAGCTCAACGCCGAGGGAGAGAAATGCTGGCTGATGGGGAGGTTTAGCCATATTTGGCATTTCGATTCCCCAACTGATTCACCGAAAGTGAACCTCTGGCATGACGGTAAGCCCTGCACGTGGCCTTGCGCGTGTCACGGCCTCACCGTGACACCGCCGGCGTGACGAAGCCGACGCAACGCCGTGCCGTGACGAGCTCGGCGCGACAGGCCGCCTCGCGGTGACATCCCCGGCCGTGTGTGACGGCACTGGCGTGACGCCCCCACGGCGCGGCGCCAAAGCAGCGCCGCGGCCTGGCGGCGCGCGTCACGACCACGGCGCGCGTCACGACCACGGCGCGCGTCACGACCACGGCGCGCGTCACGACCACGGTGCCCGTCACGACCACGGCGCGCGCCACGCGAGTCTACCGGCGCCGGCGAGCAGCTTCATTACGCGGCACGTCCCTCTCTGTGTACATCAGACACGCTGTTTGCGTCGACCCAATTCGGGCGGTAGGCGCGGTGAGCTAGGGTAACATCGCACTGTCTGTTTTGACGAATAAGCCATAGCTGCGGCACACAACACGCTTGCGTCTCATCGACCGGACTCCGTACATCGATCTCGGCGCTGTGCACGCGTGAATAACCGGTGCACGCGTGAACCACCGGTGCACGCCTGAAACGCCGGTGTGAAGGACGAACATACCCGGGCACGGAATGGGACGGCTTAATAGGGTTCGTCTCTTGCCATACACCGGTAGCGACCTTGCGTTGAATTTTTCGAAATATGAGCAGTTCAGTTTCATTCTCTCGGCGCCTGTACCCCATGGGCGCCAGTGATGTGTGGGGCCGTGGCCCACCTGTGTTACGATCTATCACGGCTGGCGCCCGCGGCCGCGTGCGTCATACCAGCCTGGCCTTTACGTTCACAGCTCCAGCCTTGCCCATTGAGTGATCAATATGTCTAAAGTTAGCGTGCAGCAATAAAAGGCGTGAAGTTCCAAGAGTATCAGAGTGGATGTGCTCCAGACGTCTTTAAAAGGCTATCCTGTCGTACAGCCATAACTCACGACCATGCTCTTCTCCCCCTCTATGCTCTTTCTGAGCCTCTCTACCTCTCTCCATGCCTGACTCTCTCTCTCTCTCTCTCATCTTATCTCTCTCTATCTCTCTTCTCTTCTATCTCTCTCTCTCTCTCTCCTCTCTCTCTTCCCCCCTCCTCTCCCTCCCTTTTCTTTTTTTTCTTTTCTTTCATATTTTATATTTCTCCCTCTTTCTTCCTCTCTCAGCTCTCTCTCCTTTCTCCCCCCTTACTCTCTCTACCTCTCTCTCTCTCTCTCTTCCCCCTCTCTCTCTCCCTCTCTTTCTTTCTCTCTCTCTTTCTCCCTCTTTCCTTCTCTCTCTCCCTCTCTCTCTTTCTCCCCCCTCTCTCTCCCTCTCTCTCCGTCTCTCTCTTCTCTCTCCCTCGCTCTCTCTCTCTTGCGAGCGCTTGTGCTACTCGTAAGCAGTCTTGGCATCGCCCGCACACCGCACCATAACATCCGCCCGGCCGGCCGCGCGTCCGCGCCACCTGCCCACCACTAACTGTCCTGCCGTTTGTTCGCCAGGCGAGATGTCGCTGCTGATGGCCAGCGGCGGCCTGATGGGCGTGGTGCCGTCCGCCAGCGCCATCCCCACGCATGTGACGGCCGGTGGCACGCGGCTCGAGCCTCGCCGACGCGACAGTGGCGACTCGGAGCCGCGCTCCAGCTCCAGCGCCGGCAGCGCCGCCGGCGCCGACGACCACTCGCCCAATAAGATCTTCGTGGGCGGCATCAGCTTCCAGACGACGCCCGAGAAGCTGCGGGCGTACTTTGCACCGTATGGGACTATTCTGGACGTGATGGTGCTGAAAGATCCGGCGACTAACGTGAGTTCCTGGCCTTCGTTTCCCTTTTATGGTAGAATTTGCTTAGGAAGAGGTGTGTAAGGATACCAGCCCAATTCCTCCACGCTGTTTCTAGCTAGTCCACTCGCATCATTTTTGGAGATATCAGGATCGTAAACGGAGAAGCACCTTATGTGTTCGCCTTTGCGTAGTAGGCAGTGACCTCATCCAGTTTCCTCTTTCCGTTCTTCCCTTAAGCACCGCCTGAACCCGATGCGTACTGTGCCACCATCCAGAGCATGACTACGATGTGAGGGTCGCCCATAGTGTCGTCATCAGCAGACATAGTGCTGAGCAGTGTGTGTGTGCTTGGCCGGTAAAGCAACGTTGATACCGGCGCAGCTGATTTTTGTGTCCGGTCTCACTGACCGCATTGTTCGCTGAATGCTTCTTCTTGTCGTGTTCTTGTCACATTTTGATCACGTGGGCTCAATTAATAGCCTGGTCGTTTGAGCGTATGACTGTAGCTTGCGTTGTGTAGTCGCGACGCATCGCGTTAGCGTGGAACCGAGTCAGCTCGCTGCTTGGCTGACGTCCGTATACCCTCGAGTGCGTCTGAACCGCACATACCGGCGCAATGGCGCCACAGCCACGCGATTGTGACGTCCCGACTTCTTGCAGAGGAACCGGGGCTTCGGCTTCGTCACGTTTGCTGACCTGGAGTCGGTAAATAAGGTGCTGAGCCAGGAGGAGCACATGCTGGACGGCAAGAAGATCGACCCAAAGCTGGCCACGCCCAAGGGGCAGAAGACGGTGGGTGAACTGCTGATCCCGCGCAAGGTGTTCGTCGGCGGCGTCAGCCAGGAGACCAGCTCGCAAGAGCTGCTCGAGTACTTCTCGCAGTTCGGCAAGGTGCTCGAGTGCTCGCTGCAGATGGACAACAACACGAAGCGACACCGGGGCTTCGCGTTCGTCACGTTCGAGAACGAAGACCACAGCGCTCGCGTCGTCAAGAAGCACCACCACGTGGTCAAAAGCAAAACGGTAGAGTGCAAATACGCTCAACCGAAGGAGACGATCCAGGCGACGGAGCGTGCCAAGAGGGCGCAGCTGATGTCGGTGATGCAGTCAGCAGTCGCGTCCGGGCCGCTAGCGGCCGCGGCGCAGGTGCAGCAGCACTACTCGCGCGTGATGTCGGCCGCCGGCGGGCCCGCCTTCTCGGGCCTCTCCAGCTTCCGGTACTCCCCGTACTCGCTGCCGATGGCGGCGGCGCAGCAGCAGCTGGCGGCCATGCCGGCGCCAATGACGCCCGCCAGCTCGGCCGCCTTCCAAGGGCAGGGACTGTCTGCCCTTCAGGGTTTGCAGACGCTGCAGCCGGCCGCCGCGCCCTACCAGTTCGCCAACATCGACGTGTCGAGTCTGCAGGGCCTGGACTGGGGCGGCGCGCCGCTCTACGGCATGTACACGACTTAGGGGGCGCTCCGGCGGCCACCGGGCGCCCGCCAGGCCGGCGCCGCCGGCCCGGGCCAGGTGTCTTTCACAGACCGGTCGCGGTGATGGCGCCTGAGACGCGGACTGACGACTTGCTCATCCATTACCCACCCCCGCCGAGCGAGGAGCGGTGCCATACGGAACGTAGTATCAGTTCTCAGGGTTTTAAGTTGTTCACTGTGACGCTTCTCTGGGTTTTCAGACAGCGGGCCCAACGCATCGGGCTGGTGCCTGCTTAGATCTCGCGTAGACCCATTCAGTAGTACAACACATCGTTCATTCACATACCACCCGTCATCCCAACGGCCCCGTAATACGTTCGATGAAGTGTGTATGCGCGTGTGTGAATGCACGAAAGCGCTGCGTCGCGGCGCAGAGCTTAAGTGTGAATGGGGTGTGCGTCATCAACAGGTCTTCCAGTTTCAACTGCGCACGCTTTTCTGCGGGTCCCTGCTGACCCACCTTACTCTGAAGCCGGGATGGTACTTCCACCTTGCGCCGCGCGGTGACAACCAACCGGCGCACAGTCACACACTCACGGCAGGTAATCTCAGCATATCAGGCTACGGTCCGACTTCAGACGCTTCAGTAATAACCATGGCAATAACCTTCACCGTTGTTCGAATTTCTCGCGAGGCGTCCTTGCTCGAGCTGTGCCGCTTTGGTTTTTCCTGTTCCCGCCGCGAGCTGCGCGATCTTCCGACCGCGACCCCCTTTGTGCGGTCGCGGCTATGTCGGTTCTTCCGCGGCTCCCTGGCACGGCTTCGGGAGGCTCGCTGCGCCTTGTTCCCGCCCTCGGTGCCAAACTCCGACCGTCGTCTCCTCGCGGTACCTCCGTTTCTTCGCGGCTCCTAGCGGTAAGGTGAGAGGTGTCGGAGCAGCCGGCAGCCTGGAGCGATCCGAGGCTACCTTTCAGCTGACGAGAGTGCCGGCCCCGCCGCGGGCATGACTGTCGCGGCGGGTGACCGGACCCGGTGAGCCCGCCTGCAGCGGTACCTGAGTTGCCAGACTGGTGTCCTCGGTGCGGGAGCACCCTGAGATGTGGCTCCTCTTGACGAGTGCCTGCTCCGTCTCTAGTGTAAACTGGCCTCGGCCGGTGACCCTGACCTCACGCCGTGACCTCTGGTTGACGGTGGACCGCCGGTGATGGCCGTGTCCACCAGCAGCGCCGTTTTTTCCTGTATCTCTGTGCCCGTCACCTGTCGGCCTGTACACGCTGGTTAGTCCGACGTTGTGAGTGTTGTAGAGACTAGCCGGCCGCTTCGTAAATAGTGGCTAGGACGCGACCGTAGGCTGCGCTGCACCCTGCGTGGCGTGGTTCACCTTGACTCCGCGTACGCCCGTGGCAGCACCCGTGGTAGCAGCTGGCGGGCTGCACGCTCGTCTATTGGTCCCGAGCCCTCTAGCCAACCCACGAATAAACGTAGCCAGCTAGAAACGCTTGTTATTGGTCCGATGTGAACGCAAATGCAAGCATGAGGCGGCTGGGTGCGCCTGAGTCAGTGGGCGCCGGTCCGCGGCGCACTCGCCGCGTGTCGCGAGGGGCGCTGCTCACACCTGCACTCCGCGGTGACGTCAGCAGTATGAGCGTTACGTAGCCGGTCGGCTCGCGGGGACTGGCGTGTCGCGCAGCGTCCCGATGCGCAGCGTAGTCGAGAGAACCTCCGATCGGCGCTGCCTTACGTTATGCAGCACTAGAGAGCGTACGTGCGTGGTGGCGCGACCCATGAGCTTGGGACGTGCGGTGCGGCTCTCTTGAAGAGTACGAATGCATCCGAGCCCCGTTTGGAAACCAACGTCTCCATCCGAGCCCCGTTTGGAAGCCAACGCCTCCCCCATTTGTACTCGGTATTGGGCAGCATCATGACCTATTTTTTCGCAGAGTAAGGTAGATAATTATTTTTAGCATGTAAATCAGTCTTGTTTACTAAAAAAGGGGAATTCAAACATTTTCAAGCCTTCGGCTTCTGTCTATTATGTAGTCTGGCCATAGGCCGAAAGCTTGTCCGTTTTTTTGGGCTTGTTCATTTCGTCATTACTTCTTAAATCATTGGCATGTTAACGACCTTTTTTGCCTAACAATAAAGTCGGCTATGCTATGGACCGTACATTTAAAGACTAGACTGAGAGTTTTTGATACGGCGTTGATGGAGCGCGGTTTCTGAACGGAGTTCCGCAGGCGTAGTTATACGAACGAAGGATGTCCAGTTGCCCTGCACCTACCAGTGCCGACCAGGTACGGTCTCAAGGCGGGGTAGCACTGAAAGTGCACGATACATGGTACAGCCTACGTCCACTAGGTTAGCAAGGTCGTTTTTTTAGAGAACAGTGCCTTGTGCAGGCGTTCCGTAGACTTGGCGTGGGGATTTTTGACGTGGTGTATCAAATACGGCACTGTCTTTCCCGTAGCTTTTGAAGGTATGACCTTGTATAATAGTCCTAGGGTGGCTCGACACGTTTGCTTGAGTTAGAGGTTGGTTTGGTTTATGTCCTTTTGACACCACAAGATAACCGCATAGAGATTCCATATATTACTTTTTGGTGGGTTGTGACAGTTTTACAGGGGCATGACTATCATAAATGGAGACAACAAATAAAACTTCTTTTTTGTTCTAAACACTATGAAAATGCCGGGCCCACATTTTGCTTTAGCGTAAGCTCAAAATAATCTGCATGATTATCAGGGGTGTAGCTGCGAAAGGAGCAGGGAAGGGGAGGACTCAGCAGTGAAAAATGATGCAGCCCTCCTCTAAAAGCCTACAAACGGTTCTCTCATCGAACTTTACCCACTTCTTTAAAGTTTGGGGGGCTAAAGTCTACGTTTGGGGCGGTGGGATGGGAGTTGAGGTCTGGAGCCCCACTCACCCCACTGAAAAGGTAGCTACACCCCAGACGATCGTCATATGGGCACCGCGTATTTGGGACCACGCCCGATTACATCCCTCAGCAATGGGACATCACGGAACGCAGATGCCAGCCCCAGCTCGATGTCTCGTAGAACTCTAGGGATTCAATGATCAGTTTCGCAACCGTAAGTTTGTTGGCTGTAGAGGCTGCTGAAACTCTCGCCGTCCGTGTACCACCCAAAGCGCCTTATCTGTCGTGGCTTGGATTTCGTCCACAGGGATAGCCAATCAGTTGTTTTGATTCGATCGGTTGTTTGGCTGATTGGTTGTACTCGAAGGGTATGCCACCTTTTTATACTTTTCACTTATGGTTAGATTGCACGCGTCCGGTTGGATCGGTAATGCCAGTGTTCTGGAAATCCTTCTGAATGGCACAGAATTTTTGTGCCAATTGACCGCCCTGGCAAGTAATGTCATTGGACTCCCTGCTCACCACTGAAAGTATTATGCTTTTCTTTTACTTGCATCGTATACTTTCCTTTGGCATTGCTTCTTCCAGCGTGTCTTCTGTAATGTATGCAGTACACCCATTGGTCGAAATGCTTGGTTATAAGCACTACGAACGCTTGAAACATTCCACTGAGGGAAAATATGCCTATACAAGCACGAGGCTGATATTACACGAGTTCAACGGAACGTAGTACTATGGCTTTGAGTTCTCCCCCATGGTGTTTGTCACAGTGGCTCTAATCGAAGCGCACTGCCTTTGGGAAGTGGAGTATCACAGGGTCTCCGCCGGGGGCGGCGCCATGTGTTTTGATTGGTAGGCATGATTTTCCTGGAGGCCCCCCCGGACGAAATGGGGCCTCCTCACAGGGAACATCCCGGGCAGGGTGGCATTCAAGGCAGAAGAGGCAGCAGTGCCACGCGCTCCTTATCAAATTACTGCATGTATAAATATTTAAGTGAAGAAATGTCAGCGAAATACAGGGATCTTTTCGATGAGCAAAGGGTCTCCCTATCCGAAAACAGGGCTTACTGTGCTAGAACAGGGCCTCCTGATCCAAAAAGGGTTTCCTGATCCAGGACCCTGCCTCTCCGATGCACCATGGGATCTTTAACAAATCAAGCAAAGGGATTCGTTATTCCCAAACAGGGCATTCTGATACGGAACTACAGCTTTCTGATTCCACGCGAAAGAGCCTCCTGGTCTAGACAAAGGTGCCTCTTGATGTGTAAATGGTGCGTCCTAATCCAGAACAGCCGTCGTCTAGTTCATAACGGGAACCTCTGTTAGAAGATTCTGCCGTCGTCATGACTACGGCAGTCGCAACAATTGCAGTTGTGAATCAGGGCTACTAATAATTGGGGCTGCCAAGAAATAAATAAGTGGAGTGCTGTGACAATACGTTGACATAATAATTTGGACTAGAAAGTGATGAAAAATGATCTCCTCGTTACACCTTGATGGTCCTGTAGTAACACTAACCGGGGCTATTATTAAACGTGAGTGGTCATGAAGTTTGACCAGGGCATGTTTTTGAAGTATGTCCCAAAGGTGGACACTCCCCTTGAGGCTACTTATTTGGCCAAGGCTATTCATCTGGTCAGGGCCCGGGTAGGTAATAGTGCACAACAAGAAACGTCGGTTCATTCATCGCACCTTAAAATTGTGGTTATGATTGTTGTTGACAGAAAGTGATCAGAAATGGGTAAAACTCAGGAGCGAGCATTGTTCCTGTGGCCGCGAGATCGCGAGCTAGAACTTGCCTCCAGCGGCGTTTGTTTTCTCTGATTCTTTGTAGCATATGTTGTATGTACGCCGAACCCTCGAGTCCATACATTTCAGTATTCGCTCTGTTTTACAAGAGCTATTTCAGTTTAGACCAGCTAAAGTTCAGTTCTCTGCCTCGCGCTGCCTCTGTGATGCCTTGTGGGCATTTTATTCTGACTGCGGTTTAGGTCGGAGTTTGAGCTGCGGGTCCCGGCGGCCTTAAGAAACTGCGTGAAGTAGTGGCTTTGTCCCACGCCGACTTCTGCAAACCAAACCCTCTGGGCCCACGCCGTTCGTGACCACAAGAGGGTTCTGTTTGCACACAGATATGCCCCCCCCCTTATATGTTTGCTGATTGATTGGTACCACGTGGGCCCAGTTAACCTTATTTTAGCATTTCCAGTTAGCAGTTGCATGCAAAGGTTAAGTCCCTTTGCAACCGGCTGCAGCGTGGAACTAATGCTGTATTAGTCACACTGATTTGCTGAAGCCGTGCCTTACACTGTGCGCTTGAGTATCTTAGTGTGCGCTACCACATTGGAACATGATCACAGGCAATATATACGCCTTAATCTATGTCATCTTAAGCTAATAGCACACGAAAGAGAGGAATGACCAATAGAACGTATTTAATTTTTCCGATGCGGTTAAACTTGGAACTCTGTAAGATGGACCTTGTGTTGATGTTCGTAGCATCTATAACTTTGCACGCCATCGTTTGCTTACAATGTTGCTGATTGAATTTTCTCACCGCCCCTGTTTAACTTAGACAGTGTATGAATACTTCTTATTTTGCCGTTTTCCTTTGTTCCCGACTTCCCTATCTCTCTGCCGCTCTTCGTCTATATGCATCTGTGTACGTCTCTTCCGGTCTCGGCATCCCCTGCGATTCATCTTTCACGACCTCTAATCATTTCTCCCAGTCTCTCCATTCCTCCGTTTCTCTTCATCTCTCTCGACCTGCTCCATCTCCCCGGCATCCGTCCATCTCCGCTGATCTCCGTTCATCTCTTTGGACCTTTCTCCGTTCCTGCCGGACTGCTCCATGTCTCCTGCTCTCTCTCCCCCACCTCGCCCCGCCTCCCTCCATCACACATCTCTCCCCAGAATACCTCTCTCTACCCCGCCCCCTCCCGGCTCTCATTTCTCCTCTCGATTGAGTTCAGACTGGACCCGGCTCCCATCGGGCGCGTCCGATCGGGCTCCGCACCGGAGCCTGCTGAGCTATTGGCCGGCGCCGGCGAGCCGGTGTGCCCCATTTCCCGACCATCCCGGCACGTGTGACAGGCCCATGCGGCGACCCGGCGGACCGGTATTGACGCCGTTTGGAAACGATCAGGCTGGAGATCAGATCGTTCGCGGTTCTCTGTATCTCTCGCTGGCGCCAGCTGTCGTTAGTTCTCCCTCTCTCGTCTCTCACTTGCTCTTTCCTCCCCCAACTCTTCACTCGCATCGTTTCTTCAGGTTTTTTCTCGAATTTATTATCTGAGTCTTTTCTCTCTCCCTCAGCATTCGTCCCTGTCATCTTCTTCCTAGCATTTGGTGCGACGCTCTACCATATGTTCTACCTATTTCCCTTCCTGAGTAAAAAAGCTCACTTTACCCTTTTTCTGTGCAAGTTATGCTGTTTTCAAAGTTATGCTGCGTTCAGCACTATTGCTGCTTAGCATGCTTTTAAACGGGACTGATAGGTTTGACGTAGCCATAGATAGACCTATCATCATGAAATGCGTTCTTTAATGAGCCCGTATGCTACTGACAGAGACTCAAAGTCTGCGTCTGTTAGCGTATTTTAACCAATCGGGAGTCGAA